TATCTAAGCTAGACGTGTGAAAGATATGATGGGGTCATCACATCCATAGAGCTTCTTTCTGACTGAAGAATCCACCTCTAGATCCAGCTCATGAGCTTCCCTGCGCAGCTCCCAGGGCTGCTGTGCTGGCAAGGCCTGCACCCAGGGAGTCAATGCCACATCCCAGTATTACCTACGACCCAATTCCTCATTTTCAACCACTGTTCACATACAAATAAGGAGCAGTGAAGCAAAGCATAGTTCCAAAGAGGATGGAGCTGGACTGTTCTCACTGGTGGCAGATGACAAAACAAGGAGCAACAGTCTCAAGTTGCAGCAAGGGAGGTTTAGGTTAGACATTAGGAAACACTTTCTCACTAGGAGGGTAGTAAAGCACTGGAACAGGTTACACAGAGAGGTGGTAGAAGCTCCATCCTTGGAGGTTTTTAAGACCCAACTACACAAAGCCTTGGCTGGAATCACCTAGTTGGGGCTGGCCCTGCTTTGAGCAGGGGGTTGGGCTAGATGACCTCCTGAGGTCCCCGCAAACCCTCATTTTCTATGAATCTATGACAGGCAAAATTAGCTCCTTGGCATGCTGGCCACACCAACAATGTGCAGACCAGTGTGCAGACAAGAGGGGCATGAATGTATAGAAGGGTAGAGCAAGGTAACCTCAAAACAGTGTTTAGCCCACTGAGTTACCCTCTACCTATAATTATGCTTTTCCAGGATGATTGGTAGACAAAAGATAAAAAAAGAAAAGAAGGGAATAAGCCTCACTGGAGCACTGATCAATACATGCTGCTCACACAAGGGCTTTGTTAAAGCACTGGCCAGAGTAAACCTCACTAGCAAACCTGACTGATGCATGAACTCCTCACATAAACAAAATGGGCACATGGGACAGATGTACCTCCTGCCAAGACACAGGAGGGAGAAATGATGGTACAAGGTAGGATAGTCCAGTACCAGGATGATAAGGCTGGAACGGGAACACCTAGGTCAGAATGTGAAACAAGTCCCTGATGCAGGACTGTTTGAGACATTCAGGATACCGAAGGAATGCAATACATCCTTTGTTTTGCACATCGTATAAAAGAAGAATCGGAAATCGTGGGAAATTTGTAGCAGCCTGGGGGAGCCTGCGTGGTATTGTGCTGACTACCTTGTCATAGGTACAAAACGCCTTAGCTCCTGGTGTGATGTACTTGTTAGGCCAAAAGGTGTTAGGGCTGTGCTCGTAGACAAACCTGGCCAAATCTTTGCCACCGAACCAAGCCTGTGGTCATTCTTTAAGACGAGTTTACTGTTGGGATCTCCGGGCTCCAACTTTGCCAGCACTGCAGTTCCTAAGACTTCAACACTGACAGTATATCAAGTACAACACCTGATGAGGACAACAGCAATGACAACACTGATAATCCCAGACGACAGCACTTTAAGAGGAAGGGCAGGAACCTTGTCTAATGTGCAAGAGGTAGGTAGGGATGCACCGATAAAGATTTTTTTGGCCGATATTGATGCCCGATTATTAACCAGCCATATTGGCCAATACCGATCAGACTGCTGATATGCAGCCCGGCAGACTGGAGAGCAGTGTCTGGCCGATAAGTCTATGGGGGGGAAGGGGTGTGGGGAGAGCAGATCAGGGCCTTGCAGTGCGGGAGGGAGCGGGGCTGGAGCACAGGCAGGGGCAGGCACTGTTCAGCCAGGGCAGGGCAAAGGACAGAGCCACGGGCGGCTCCTACTGCTGCACACACCCCCAGGGGAGGCATGGGGGGCATGTGCCCCCTGGATTTGTGTGCAGGGTGAGCTGCCCACTGTGGTCTGGGGCCACAATGGCCTCTTCCCAGTAGGGCTGGGCTGGGGCTGTGCTCAGGGCGGGCAGCAACAATGTTGAAAGGGGGGGCTACAGAGTGGGCTATGGCCACCTCAAAATTTACCACATCGCCCCCTGTAGTTCCCCCTCCCAATGCCACTGCCACCCGCCCCCCTCCCCCACTGGGAAGTGGTCAGCACAGCCCCCGGCCTCACCCTGCGGGCAGCCCACCCTTGCCCTGCACACAAATACAGGGGGGGGGCACATCCCCCCCATGCCTCCCCTGGGGGGTGCATGAGTCAGCCCCCATTCCTCCCCCGCTCTGTCCCACACTCCGTCCTGCCCCAGCTGGGCAGCGCCTGCCCCAGCCCCACTCCATCCCTCACCATGGGGGTCCTGATCTGTGCCCCACACAACCCTTCCCACCCCTACACCCCTTACCCACAACAGACTTACCAGCCAGATGCTGCTCTCCAAGCTGCTGGGCTGTGTTCCTGGCTGCATGCATGCTGCAGCTGCACACATTCACGCAGCTTTTATCAGTGACATTATTAGCCACGTTGGCCAAAAAAAGCCAATTTCCTTTTATGAGTGCTGATATGATATGGATCAATATATATCAGTGCACCTCTAGTAAGAGGTATACAGAATACTGCTGCAGCACCCAAGTAAAGCATGAATTTGTTATATCTTAGCATTTCAGCAAGTGCTAGAAATTATCTAAGCTAGACGTGTGAAAGATATGATGGGGTCATCACATCCATAGAGCTTCTTTCTGACTGAAGAATCCACCTCTAGATCCAGCTCATGAGCTTCCCTGCGCAGCTCCCAGGGCTGCTGTGCTGGCAAGGCCTGCACCCAGGGAGTCAATGCCACATCCCAGTATTACCTACGACCCAATTCCTCATTTTCAACCACTGTTCACATACAAATAAGGAGCAGTGAAGCAAAGCATAGTTCCAAAGAGGATGGAGCTGGACTGTTCTCACTGGTGGCAGATGACAAAACAAGGAGCAACAGTCTCAAGTTGCAGCAAGGGAGGTTTAGGTTAGACATTAGGAAACACTTTCTCACTAGGAGGGTAGTAAAGCACTGGAACAGGTTACACAGAGAGGTGGTAGAAGCTCCATCCTTGGAGGTTTTTAAGACCCAACTACACAAAGCCTTGGCTGGAATCACCTAGTTGGGGCTGGCCCTGCTTTGAGCAGGGGGTTGGGCTAGATGACCTCCTGAGGTCCCCGCAAACCCTCATTTTCTATGAATCTATGACAGGCAAAATTAGCTCCTTGGCATGCTGGCCACACCAACACAGTGGCTCTAGCAGCCACGTCAAGAAGCACTGCAGTCCAGATACAGCCCACCAACTTATTTGAGTTTGACGCCCTCAATCTAAGCCAAATTGGTAAAGCCTAATTTTCTTTTAGTTGCTTAACTGATATTAACCAAAAAGGGTGAATATTTCTATGATTTTCTTGTCCTCTAAGCAAAGACCATTTTGTCCTCTGAGTAGCCACACTAAAAATCTCACTCTTTTAGACAAGATCAGCAAATGCCCCTTGCTTGCATCTAATTTAAGATGAGTCAGCTGAAACAGCTTCCTGAGAGCTTCCAGCCCCCTCCATTCTAGGGAAATAATTTTTAACCTTTAAAGCTGTTTCCTAAGTTGTCTCAGTTAATAGCAGAAGGGCTTTTTCTGGAAAAAAAAGCAAAAAATGATGCATTTCAAAGCTATACGTACTGTTCCTGACAACTAAGGACCTGGAAGCACATCAACAATGAAATCTTGGGAGCCATTAAAACTGGGTCGTAGCTTCAGGAGTCAGATTGCAAGACCTGGCTGTTCACTGCATATTTAAGATTGCTGTTGTGTATTTTAGGGTTTGTGAAGAGAATCATTCAGTAGGGCATTTTGCTGAAGCCCAAAATGTCTAAAGAACCAAGTTTTACCTGCAAATGGACCCAAAGGGTCCCCACTGATCTGGGGAGAAACTTCTCCCACCGCCTAAATGCTCAAGTTCAGAGGCTTGGAACACGGCTTCAGCTTGTGTAACTGGAACATTTTATGTCAAATGAACTACACCAATTTCTACCAGCTCATAAATTCTCCCTCCAAACAGTTTAGCCCTTTCATTTGGCAAACAGATTTTCATCCAATCCATAACTGAACTTTTAAGTGTCTGCGACTTAAGCCACTAAACATCCTACTTGTTTTTCCCACTCCTTTCAAAGAGCACCAGAATCCACGTCAAAGCTGCTCTTGAAACAGAACTAGACTAAACACAGCTTAGTACAATTTAACCTTTGCAAGTAAAGGTGCGATATTATACTGATAATAAAAAAATAATAAATATCTTACTGTTGAGTTATACCGGTACAATGGTGCTTATTCCAGCATGATTTGGGAATAATGCACTAAATCACTCTGCCTACACTGGCATAGGGAGGATATGCTAGTTTAGCTTGGTTTCATTATGGGGCCTTAACTTATTTTGATCTCTCAAAACGTTTAAATAAAAAGTATGCTAAACCCAAGTGACTTTACCTAAAACTGTATTGCAGACAGCATGTTGGGTGTGAGGGTGGGGAAGAGAAAAAACATTTAAGTTCTTGAGGTCAAGTTTTATAAACAAGGCACAACATGTAATGTACTGTATTAAGGGACTAATCCTACGGGATCAAAGGGGCTATACAACTGGGCACTAGATGCCAGGCAAATCAGAAGCATTGTGATTGCCAGACTCCAAGAGACGCCATCATGCATCCCATCAGGATTACATTAGTTACCTTTCCAAGGCAGCACTTTAACCCAAAGCACAAGCAAAAAAAATGATCTAGTAGCAACTGCTTATTTACTGGATAATTTTTTGCTTATGATTTAGGTTCACATGCTAGAAACATGTACTAACATATGGAAATGTATGCTATAGGAGTATATGCTACAATCAATCTAACATTAAAGTTCTACCTAACTGTAAATCTACGTGTTTTGAGGGAGACATCAACCAACAAGATTGCAGCTTTCTTTAGATAAAATTAATTGAAGTACAAATGGAAAGGTTGATTAAAGAGGTCTTCAGAAGTGCTCTCAGTAATTTAAATCAATCCACCCTGAAAAGGTTCAATTATATTGGAAATATTTTTGTCCACGATAATCTCTATCCAGTTATAAAAGTGAAACTGTACATTAAAAGAGGCTTACTTTAGTAAAGCTAGGAAGGCTGCAGGCTCCACATCAGGCAGCTCAATCTCTGTAGAAGTCGTGGCCATTCCACCATTAAACATTGCATCGAAGACTGCACTGCCTACAGCCAACACAAACCTAACATGGGAGGAAAAAACAAAACAAAACAAAACAAAAAAAACCTTACGTTAAACTACATTCAGCTTCCAAAAAAATCCCCATTTCTGCCCCCCAGAACCATCTCAAGGGAACGTCCTTGTTGTATAGTATGCTCAGAAGGAATCCATCAAATCCCTGTTTCTCTTTACTGCGAACACCACCGAAAGTTGCTATTTGGAAGTTCTTCTCCTTTCAGCCCAGTATACAATCATGAGTCAGAAATCAAGAAGGCTCTTGAAACCAAATGCTGTATAACTTATGAGTGAACACACGTATTTATTTGATTGCGATGTTTGCATAAGGTTTTTTATTTAAAAGGTCTCAGGCCCATTACACATCTGTCCCATAAGCTAGTTCACTGCATTGTGCCCATTTTACAGACTGAGACAATGGGATACAACATTTATCTAAGCCCAGCCCCTGCACTGAATTGAATGAGATGGGAACAGAAGACAGGTATCCTGGCTCCTGTACTCAAATACCAAATAGTTCCCAAAAACCTGTTGGTATGTGAAGAAGTTTTCCACCCTGTCCCTACTTCCCCACCAGCAATGTGCCATCAAAATTACTTTAGCTACAGCAGAACTAAAACTTAAACATGCAGCTTTCCTCAACAGTGGTCGGAGCATCCAGCTCCAAGTGCTGAAGTACTTTCATCGCCCCAGTGTTGTACACAACCCTCCCAAAGTGTTCAAAAATGGGGACCACTGGCTAAGCACCACAAAGGTCCAAGAGAAAAAAAAATCCTTTGCATGACTCTCTTAGAAGCACTTCAGTCTCATTTTCTACTTCTAGCCACAGTTAGACACTAAGCCTGGAAGATGAGTACAATTTAAACTTAAAAATACAAAGGGCGATAGTGGGCACATTTAACACTGGTGTACATTGCCATAAGTTGATATGGACATTGAAAAGAAAGCCATTCTCTGCTCTACAGAATCAGGTTATAGCGTTTAAAATAATAAAAGTGCTACAGAAACTTCTTCAGGTTTCTCATGTAGAGAAAGCAACTGCCCCTGTTAAAAAGCCCTGACAGAATCGTAGAAAAACAGGTCTGGAAGAAGCCTCAGAGAGTCACCAGCCCATCCTCTTGCTCAAGGCAGGTCCAACCCCTTGCTAAACTGTACCACAAAACATGTGCATCTCACCAGCAATAAAGCTTCCAACAGGTTTTCAAGCTCTCTAAATAAGCACTGGAACAGATTAACCACCCTCAGAGTTGGAAGCTCTTCTTAATATCTAACCTAATTCTCCTTTAATCAAATTTAAGCCCATTACTAGTTCACCCAACATCTATGGACACAGTGCAATTAAAGTCATCCTTGTCATAGCAATCCATTTTGTATTTGAAGATCATTATCAAAATCTCCCTCAGTCTTCTCTAAACTAAATAATTCCAAGTCTTCCAACCTTTCCTTAGTTACTACATATATTTAAAAATAAGGTAATTCGGTTCATTAGTAAACACATATATATCAACGCTATTGTGCCGTAAACATTACCATATCAATTTAGACAAGTTTGCATCCAGCAAAAAGGAGGCGTCTATAAACAGTTTAATAACCTTGAAAATTCAAGCAGAGAAAACCCTTAAATTACATATGCATACTGCAGCAAGATCATCTTTCAACCAAAAAGCTTGGTGGCAATCCATAGGCACTGTTGTGATGACTGGTCCCTTTATGATCAATTAGTCTAGTTGGGATCCTAATTGATTAGTCAGTTCCCAATTTGATCAATTTGGGAACTGATTCTAGTCTCTCACGTATCTGAACTTGAAGCATGTCTAGAAAGGAGAAGCTGTCAGCCCAGCTACAGGAGTTTCTTGTATGGCAGGAAGCAAAAGATGGGCATCTTATGCCATCATTGAAGAAGCCTTATTTTCCATTCAGTAACTTCTAGAAGATTTACCTAATAGCAAAACAAAGAATGCTTCTTTCAGCAAATTCAGCTAAAGTCTTATCTGAAGAGATTTCTATTTAAGCCTGAAAAACGTGTTGTTTTTTTTAAATCAAGGCAGGCAACATCATGTCTCAGCTAGCAAATTTGTGTGACACTCTAGTGAGCTGTGTCAGCCAAGGACATGATCATTAAAGATTCCTCCTTTTAAAGGCAGGAGGAAGTCTGATTTGGTTGCTGCATTGGTTTTCCAACTATTACCTACCATTCTAATCGCTTCAAAAGCCTACAAAGCAGTATATAAGGAAAACTGCATCAAAGAAAGTTTTTTTGATTAGGTACTTCTAGAAGAGACAAGAACAAAATCAAGGAACTTTTCTGTGATGCCATAATTGCTAAATTAAATGAAATCCCTTATTTACATAAAGGAGGTAATTTCATGGGATAGGTGAGTTACAAATAAATGCCTTGTTTGTTAGTAAAAATAATACAGATCAGCACTGGAGGGGTCCAAGTTAACAGCCGGAGATGTGAGTACCCCCTCTACCGGTATGGAAATAAGCAATTGGCAAAGGATAAGAGCTTTAGACCTAACTTTTCACAATCTCTGCTTGCCTTTCACCCAGTGGACTAGTTTAACGTGCCAAGACTGATGATAACCCACCAGATTCTATACTACAAGCACCCCAAAGCATTACTTTAAAAAAAAAAAAAAAACTTTTGAAAAATCATGGTAATTTGAAGGGATGCCAACAACATAATCATTATACTTCACACTCATCTTCTATTTTTACCAGTAAAATTGAAGATGACTATAGAGATACCTAGAAGAAGCAAGAGATTGCTCTAATGCATATATATATTCACTTACACAGTTTTCCCTGCACAGTCAAATTTCCCTGTTTGAACAGGTCTTTTCCCCATGGCTGCCCGAAAGATTTTTGAAAATGAGAAAGGAGGAATAAACCAGATTTACAGAGGAACTCAAGGACAAGGGCAGCACTAAGACTATTTTTAACTCTATTTTTAAGAGAGTTGTTTGAGTTGATGTTCCTTGAAAGTCAAGTAGACGAAGCATGAGATAAGTTAACTGCAGGGACTAAGATTGCTTGGGTAGGAAGATGCGCTGGGTGATCCAACGGATCTTCCTTACTTCTCAATTCAATGAAATAATGTGTTCACGTAAGGGAAAAATATCCCAAAGTCCTTATCTGTCAGGATCATGACATCCCTCTAGCACAGTGAAGTCATGGGGTTATTTTTACACAATGCATTGCATACAAAGATGGTAGCCAAAACAGAGTGAGCTAATGTAGGAATTCAGTAACTAAGCAACAGAAGCAGTAAGAAGGCATTTAGGAAGTGAATGATAACAGTCAAGACTTTTCAGTAGTAAAATATGAAGAGAAACAGAAGTTGGGAGACAAGAGTTGGATTTTTAAGAATGCAGCACATCAAACGGTCTGAATTGAGGGTTGTATTCATTTTCACCAGAACCCAAATTAACTTATTAATTTCCACAAAGCTTCTGTAATACTTTAAGCTCCTCTATGACAGTATAAACTAGTCTTTTTCCCTTGTACTCAACGGTTATCTCCTGTTGCCTTTTGTCTTGCACAGTAAGCACAACGGGCCTTGATTCCCAACAAATTGAAGTATCACAAACGACAAAAACCCCTTGAGAACTAGGAGTATTACATCACTTCATACTATTCCCCTGCCTCATTCACTCTGCTGTACAAGGTGGTGCAGGTTTAAACTTGCACTATCTTCCTCTGTGTCATTCAGATTTTTACAAAGACTACTCGGAACGAAGCAATATAGCTGAATGTTTGCCAAATGCTGCCTTTACAGTCTAGATGAAGCTTTACTTTTAGCAACCATTTTTGATCAGAGCTTTGTTTCTAAGCCTACAACAGAAACTCCTCAAGTATGAATCACTGGCAAATTCTTAACCGTACCAGGCAGGCAGCTGGCGGCTTTGTACTCCCAGAAGTGCCATGAAGACAGAACTAGAAACACATCACAGTGATGTCACTGAAACCTCCCAATTTACCCAGCAAAATGCTTGTTTCGGAAAAAAAAACACAGCGATTCAGTGTCTCTGCTGGCACCAGCTTTGAGGATTTTTTGTACTGGGGATGCAATTCTCAACCAGGGTGATCTAGTATCCTGGGGTGCATTGAGATCCTTTCAACGGTGCTGCAGGGTGCTAGCACTGTTAGATTTGCAAACAGGATTCACAAGATAAATCCAGAGATTTTAAGCAGGAATTCACAGTTTCAAAAACTAAGAGCTGGCATTTTCCAAGGGGTGCCTTGAGTCCACAAAGGTTGAGAATCACTGCATTAGGGTACTGCCCTAACATATTAACTTTTCAAATGTGGCTTTGTTTATAGATTAATAGATTCAAGGGTCTTTTCCTCTACAATCTCAAACTGTTGAATATTCAGTACATCTTTAACACCCTGGTAGAGGGTTTTTTTTAAAAAAAAACAAAACAAAAACCAACAAACAACTAGCCCAGCTGTGAGGCTCTGTTCCAAACAAATCAACCAACCATAAAGCAAATTAATTCAATTTGAATGCTGAATGCCATCTACTAGCCAGGCTGCTGCAGAAACAAAGTATTCCTTAAAATTAAAAGTACTTTTTTTCTGAAACCCGCTCAGTGCTTCATGAATTACTAAAATATCCCCGAATGCAGTTATCAGAGAACCAGAAGTCTGAATACAATCTACAAAATGTACACACGTTGGGTCATAGTATAATGCGTTCTGGTATGCTCTCCACGAACCAGAAAGCATTGTGTGGATTTCAAAAATCAAGAAAATGGTTTTAAAAAGTTCCTTACAACCTATTCCTGGCTGAGTGCCCCTCCCCACTTGCCACTGCCTGGTTAGCAGTGCATTCAGAACTGCAGAACAGGAATGTGATCAACTCAAATATCACTAGTGTTTTCAAGATTATTTTTAAGGGCACTTAACTCTGCAATACAAAAATCCTCCTATTTTCCTAATACCACAGAAGTAGTTTGGTTAAAATGGGAAACTAGAAGCCAATGTACTTGATAAAAAAGTTTCTAGTCAAGATAATTACAT